GATAATCGATGCTCTACTGTATATAAAAATATTTATAACAATGTCTGAAATGTTATCAATTTAATATACCTAAGTATTCAATGAAGACTAAACATAGACAAAAACAAAAAATTGCATCTAAAATAGTACAGTAGAAGCCGTTCTTCAGGCTAAGCCTTAATGCTATCCCTATCTCCTGTGGAGGAATTTCGAAAAATCCCTTCTTAGCATGCATTTTTATGATGTACCCTACTAAATTTCACTACTTTAGGTTCAGCAATTTGCTCTGGGCGATGATGAATCAATCAGTCAGGACAGGTAATTTTATATATTTAGATATAAAAAAAGTAAATTATAAACAGTTTTACATAAATACCTCTTAATTAATATATAGAAATATTTAGGGGAAGAGAGGGCAGGATGGAAGGTTTAACTTTATGATGTAAAAAAACGTAAAATAACATAATATAAAGCTTTTATTTTAATCAGTCTCGACAGAGATCTTAGATGGTTAAAAAGTTGTGTAATTAAAAATAATAATAAGTATAAAATCTGTTAGGAATCATGAAGTAAAAACGTCAAAAATTCCATCTTGCCCTCACCCTGAAGGCAAGATGGAATACATAGGATATCCCTACATTTTACAATTGACACACAAAAAAAAACATCCATCTTTTGTGTCTGTACATAGTTCATGTGCCCAACCACAACACACTGGACACTGTACCCAGTCCTCTGTGGGAGGTTCCACGTATGGTTCTCCACATAATACACAAAACCTTCATCCATTGCCATCTGCAGTTTCTTCAGTCCAAGAACTTCTGTTGCTCTTTCTTATATACTTGTTCACCATCTAAAAACAATTACAACCTCAATTAGTTAGATAAATTGAAAACAGAAATCAAAATAATTGTGTGCGGGTAACATGGAAACTATTCCATCTTGCCCTAAAATGCAATTTTCCATCTTGCCCAAATGCCCATTTCCAATAATAATATCAATGCTTTAAAAACACTTGAATTTTTTCCCTCTTTAAATATCAATTCATTTAATCTAACCCTAATAGGTACTTTGTATAAAAACAAAATAGTAATACTTACCTTGTAGGTATAAATAATAACACTGCAAAAGTCCAATGATTGTGTAATAATCTGCTGTGAAATAAGAAATACCTGAACATGTCACATTTAATATTTATTGAGTAAATTAAAACTTACTTTTTTCACTATTTATGAAAAATACTACCTTTTGTTTATCAAATAAAGCATACTAGAAGAACAGATATTAAAAATAAGTTATTTCACAATATGGAATTTTCATATTTTAAATTTAAGTAATGTGTCAATTAAGTCCAAGATATAGGTTTTAAACAAAATTTTAAAATTTGTAAATAAAATGAAGACATTAATTTATATTTCTAGCTCAGCTTTCTATGAATAAATACTACAATGACTTTAAAACTGTTTTTAACCATATCAAATACATAAAATGTCAACATAAATCTGATAATTTTAAAGTAAAACAACCGAATATTTGGTAGAACAAACATTAAACTAAATATATTTCCAAAAGAAATTTGAATTTAAATTTTTTTGAGGAAATATGGATGAATAAAACAATTGTATGAATTTTTATTTAATTTTTGTTACATATGTTATGTTAAGTAATATCTTTATTTAAAAGGAATAATAAGAGAATTATTTTGTCTGTGATAGGCAGGCCTGTCTTTGGTACATGAGAGGCCCTGGGCCAAGAAAAGCTTGGAGGCCCCCTTAAGGAATTCGTTATGGAGGGTTAATGTTTGTAAATTTTTTCAATTAGCTTTCTCTGCTAACTAAAGTTGATTCTAATTTCATTTCTTAATTTGTCAGAAAATTGTGTTTTAAATTGTTATACAGTGGGTGATCAGTTAACAAACAGTTCGGATAGTGAGCAAATTGGATAACAAACACTTTCACGAAAGATTTTTATGATTGGAGAACAAACACTTTACTGAACAAACATAAAAAGAAGCAATGGAAAATAACGAATACCAATTGATCTATCCTTATCTTTGGGTAACAATTCGAAACCTTTCAGAGCGCAGGAGACATGAACATTGATGCTCAACTGATACCAATCGGACAGTATAATATTCCTCCGAATTTTCAAACTCTCCCTTATAATTCCAGCTTTTTGTTTACCTTTCTGACAAATAATTTTTTATAGTATTCGCAAGACTGTCAGACAGGCACTTGTTAAGTTTTGCATTGGGGTTTATTTACGAAAGGTGAAAGTTTAACTGTCTAATTGGATATTCATTAACATTTTAATACCAAATTTCGAATTACATCAGGGCCTTGCATTTAAATAATTTTTTGTGGGCTAGTTGATTTCTGTTCTCTGAATTTTTGTAAGTGTTTTTCTGAACTTTTTATTTAAAAAATAAACTGATAATATTATGGAGCCTAAAAAGAGGAATGTCAAGAACTGTGCTCACCGTAGAAACCAAGTAAGAGATAATAGCCAAGGTAGAAAGTGGGTACAAGATGTCTGATGTTACTAGTGTGAGTGCCAGGGAGGTTGGGAAGTCCTCTCCTTCCGGCCACAGATCGGTGACCTACTTTCTTGTCAAGGATGGTGTTTCATTCAGTTACGCGAGCGGAGGAGAGTTGAAGGGGTCGACGATAAGACATTGGCTAAGCTGAGTAACGACACCATATAAAAAACAAAACAAGAGTTTATTAAGCTAACTAAATAAAATCTTACAAAACTCCTTAGACTTCGCAGATGAGAGAGAGAGCTTACAATAATAAGCGTTCATACCTCTTTGCATATACTAGTGGGATATTTTCCCGTAATGTCGTCCAAATGGGTTCGGAGCGGTGACATAAGTATAGGTCGGCGACGAAAGTGTAGGTCTGCGATGGGAGTGTAGGCTGCGATGAAGAAGGTGATGTCTGACTTCGACTTTCGGCGATTCCCCCGAAGAGGGGAAGGTGTCTGGCTTTTATACCTTTTTCGGTGGGAAAATTAGTCAGGTGATCAATTGTTTTAGCAGGTGTGGGGTTAAAGGTGGTGATCAAATGACAACAATATGACAAATTTGTCTGTAAGTGTAAACTATGCACAGTTTGATCGTGAGAATGTTTATAGTTAAACAGAAAGAGTTATAAATTTTTCATGCACTTTATATTTTGTTTTTGTAGGTCCAACTTCCTTTAGTTAAAGGAATTTCAATTTACATTTATTAAAATTTTAAAGGGTTACTCTCTTTTATGAAATTATATGCACTTCGAATTTCACTCTAGGAAGTAGTATGGCTTGAACAGGTCTACAGTAGACACAATCTTAGCTATGAAAGATACATCAAGAAGTCTCAAGCCGCTAATGGAGTAATGAAAATCAAATTTGAGAAATAAAGAGCATTTTATAGCTCATAATGGAACCTGAAACTGATCTGACGATAGAAGAACTCTCAAGTGAAGAATACTAAGAAACTCAGCAAGATGTGTTTTCTTTTCAAAAAGAGGAAGACAAAAGAGGACCAATGTTGACATCTGCTACTAAAGTTAATGGGGTTGGGGATCTCTATAATTACAATACTATTAATTACTTTCGAAAAATCCTGAAGAAAAGAGAGACAAATGGAAAAAACATAACTAATAAAAATGCAAGACTGCATACATATGTATTTTTACTATTACATACACATTTTTATTTTTATAGGCCCTTTACTGCTCAAGATGAGCACAAAAAGGCTCCAATAAATAAATGTAGTAAAAAAGTATATATTTTTTATTTTTGGAGTCTCCGGAACAAATTAAATTCCCATAAAAACCTATGGTAAATCGATAATCGGATAACGAACAAAGTCTTGGAACAGATTATGTTCGTTAACTGATCACCCACTGTATTTATGATTAATAAAATTTATCAAACATATCTTTTGATTGTTTACTGTTTATAATAATTTTATTACTTGTTGTTCTATTCAATTTTGTATATTTACGAGGTCTCAAACATCTGGAAGCCCAGTAGGCCCACACCTAAAGACGGGCCTGGTGATAGGCTCACTCTTTATCAAAATTGTATGGTTCTGAAAAGGACCTTTTGTGATAGTCCTAAAGCACTGTTTTATTCAACTAAAATGCTGCTGTACAATAGATCTTCGACAAGCAGATCCTGAAATTGATTGCTCGTTGATGGTTGAAATTTCTTCTTCTGTTTAATTTAAATGATTAGTAATAAACTTCTCCTCTAATCATTGGCCCAATTATGCAAAATTGTTGTGGCTGTTCTCTAATTTAGTTCTCAAACAACTTCCAATGCATGGAAATTGTCTTTTCCAGACCCCAAATAATCTCTCGACAGTATTTCTTGTTTGTGAATGAGCTTTGTTATACCGTCTTTCGGCATGATTCTGAGGATGTAAAAATGGGGTTATTAAATATGGCAAACAAGGATAGCCACTGTCACCAAACAAGTATTTACTAAAATAACCTTGGTAAAGTTTTCTTTCATACTACTATTAGAAAAAAATTCTACTGTTATGCATTGAACCTGGCCACCGAGCAACAATATTTCTAATTTTCATTTTTCCATCACAGATTACCTGAAATATACATTTAAACATGCATCAATTATATATTTTCATCAAAGTCAGCAGTTTGAGATATCAAAAATATTTGATATTTTCATTTATGTCAAAGAAATAATCAAGAATAAAACTGTTTCATAACAACATGTAACAATTTAAAATGTTAGAAAAATATATAGTTCATTGCATATTTAATAGTCATTTAAGCTACAATAAATTACAGTTACATAAATATTTGTGGAGAACAATAAAATTGTATTTTATCGAAATTTAACTTAGATATGTAATTTTCTTAACCTCATAATTAACTAGTATGAGTAATTAGTTATTAAGTAGATAATTAACTAGTAGTAAGTAAAGATGATACTATACGTAAATAATTCTTATCTGGCAGTTAATAGAATAATAGGATTTTCTATTATAAAAAAAAGTTGAGCTCTACTGTTTTCAGGACACTGGATAGGAATATGAGTGCATTCAATTGTCCCAATTATTCCAGGAAAGTTATCCTTAATGATAATATGGAAAAGTCTTGCATAATAGAAGTTCAGATTCTCTTGGAAATACAATTTCGGCATTCTTCGGATGAACTAATGCCTTTGAAATGCTTTGGATGGTTCTGATAATGATATGGTGATAATTAATAAAGAATACAATACATAACTTAATACAAACGTTAAACAAGACCTCATTCTTATTATAAACATCTCTATCACTATACAAAAACTTTTTAAATTTATTTAATAATGATTTGATATTTCTATGCATTTGAAGCTAGAACTACTTAAAATGACTAAGACAGAACCTTTCACGCTTTGTTTCTAGCAAGTTAATCACAGTACAAATGTTTTCGGCCATTTTGAATGGCCTTCTTTAGGTACAATAAGGTCAGTTGGAATGTTGGTTAGCAGATATTCAAGCAGATATTTGTTATTAGTCATTAAACTGCTAGAAACAAAGTGTGAAAGGTTTTGTCTTAGTCAATAATTTGATAGATACCGTCATACAGTAGAGACGTGAACTCCGATAAGATCACCGGCTACACTCTTGAAGCTTCCGGTGGCATAAAATTCTAATGCCATCAACAACTGTTGTTCAATAGTTAATGGCAATCCTCTTCCATCTAGATGCTTAATTTTGTCGCCAATTTGATTTAAAATACAAAGAAATCCAGAGTTAGAAAATCTATACTGAATTTGAAATTCGTCTTCGGAGTAGATTTCTAAGGGATTACTTCGATCTCAAATTACTCTCACTCTTCGTAACCGTCTAGATGAATTATTTTCTTGATTTATCCAGTTTACAATATTTATTAAATGAATAATATCCATTATAACATAAACTTTGCGACCAACAAATGAATATGGCGACTTCTATTCAGGTGCAATGTTGTCTAAACCTGCTATGAAGGGAATCTAGAAAGTAGATCAAATAATTTGTTTCTAATGGCTGTCTAAACTGTAGCAAGCAAGAAATGCATTCTCTGCAATGAAATTTTTCTGAACCACGATCTCTAAATTGTCGTCGACATCTAAATGGTCTCTCTGCAATTGGCTGTGACAGTTGCTCTGTCCTTTGTTGATCATCAGTTTGTCATCCCATAACAAACTGATAAAAAGTGTATAATTTTTTTTAAACATGCTGTATTATTTTAAATAAACTTTTATTTCTTGTCTTATCATAATCTTAACTTACTTTTATAATTTATGTTTAGAATCTTTACTAGAAAAATGCAAGTTGAACATAAAAAAGGAATTGGAATGGAGTGACAGTTTTACAATGAAAGATTTAAAATTATTTTCAAAATGTTTGGTTGTTTGTGAAAGGTTGAATATCAAAATGGAAAATGATGAGGTAAATATCATAGAATATATTCTATTTTTTTCATTTAAAACTTATAGACATCAGCCAGACGTCCAAACAATAAAGTGTTAGTCTATTATAATAGGAGATCAGCATAATATATTGTAGATAAAATGGATCAGGAAATCATTCCTCATCTCTCATCTATGTTGGCTAATACTATTAAAGATATAGTCTGTTTGTACAGAATGAAATTATGGCCATTTTAAAATAACCTTGATGTGTTGGTGGTATTTAGAGATAATGAATAAAATAAGTACATTAAAACCTGTCTGAAATGGAAATGTATCTAAATGGAAATCTTCAGAATGAGCAGTTTTCTGTATTAAATTTTACAATAAGCTCAAGACCTGTCTAACATGGAAATAGAAGAGGTTTTTGGATGGAAAGATGATCATCTTTTTCTGAGTTTTTAACACAATTGCTGTGGCTATTGTTATTTAATTGCATTAGCTGATGATAGAAGACATTTTTATTATGTAAAATGTTAATTTAATGCATATGATTGTTGTTAGTTTTGCAGGGAAGATTTATTTTATCTTTCTGCATTAAAGAGCTTATTTTCTTATTAATGAATTTGGCCAAACTTTGCAGTGGGACAGCTTCTAATCACTTTACAAATAGGTGATTAGAAGCAGACCCAACATATCATATGAATCAAATTGCTCAGGAAAATTTTTTAGGCTCTTATTCAGATGTAAATCTGGATCCTTTAGAGTAGTGGGTTGATACATTTACTGCTTTGGTTATCTAGTTTTTTAATAAAACCTATTATTATTATTATTTAATAATGATATACAGTATTAAATTAATTTTTGTATTGTTTGAAAAGTTAGGAAATTTAGTTTTGAACAGGATAGGATAACAAGCAAGCAGGACCAACTCCATATTTTGAGGCCAAAGCATTAATTGAGCATAGGTTACATATTCATGAAGCTGGTTTTACTTCTTTAAAAAGCCAGTCAGAGATAAATAGAATGTTAAGTGGAAAATATATCAGCCTAGTATTCTGATTAATTCAGGTTTCAGTCTAGATTGAATTATTTAGAGCACTAAGCTGATTTATTTGCCATTTAAGACATTCAGAGATAATGCATTGCTTGTCAATAGTTAAGCATGGATCATAATAAGCTAAATAAATGCCTAAATAGCATTGAATCTCAATGAAAATTAGTGTATAAATATAATTTAATATGAGAACTATCATTTACCCCTTAAAGTTATGTAAAATGCACACAAATATACAAATGAGAACACTGGAAAAAACTGGTGTCTTTCCAGAGAGCTCTATTTTTGCTGAAATGGTACTGTAGATAATAAACAACAGAAAACAGAATTGTTACAATGCGAACGGTACATAATCATGTCCCAAAGAAGACATTTACAGGATTCAGAAAGATTAGTATTAATCATTAAATTAACAGAGTTATGGCCCGATTATTTAAGGCAATTCTTTTGTTATGTTTCCATATACATATTGGGCTTATCGGTGTTTGATATACTTATGATGGATGGTTGTTGAAAGATTGGAAGCCGATCAATCAATTATCAAAGTGGTGAGATTTTTTAGTGTCCATCATTCTGTTATTTCAAGGCTTTGGAGATAATTTCAAACAATAGGAAACATTGTCAGAATATTGGTTTCAGATTGTCCATGGGTGACACCTCTAGAGATGATTGTTATATATGGCTCCTAGCCAAAAGAAACAGTAGGACATTTGCATCATCTCTGCATTTTAGCCTCGTATCATCTGTCTCAACTGTTACCAGAAGGCTTCACAAGGCTGGATTCTATGCCCATCGACTGGCAGTCAATGGGCATAGAATCCAGCCTTGATCTCTAGACAAAGACAAGTCCATTTGAAATTGAGTCAGGAGCATGTAGGCTGGACTCCAGAACAATGTTTTGTTTACAGAAAGACATGCTTTAATGGTGATAGAAAGACTGTCTGGGCTGGGTTTTCATTAGGTGGATGTACCAACCTTCATATGTTTGATGGAGGTACCATTACTTCTCACAGGTATCTGGATGAGATACTGAACCACTATGTCAAACCTTATGCAGGTGCAATCAGAAAAGATTTCATTTTAATGGACGATAATGCTTGTCCACATCGAGCAAGACTGGTTGATAAGAGAATAGAAAGAATGAATTGGCCTGCATATTCTCCAGATCTCAATTCCATAGAACATGTATAGGATATTCTAGAGAAACATGTTTCAGCTATCATACCTCCTCCACAAACTCTTGGTGCCAAACCACTGTTTTGCATTGCTGTCTTCTCACTTATTGCAATTTCTTATTGACAGTATGAGTTCAGGCTGTTGAGCTTGCATTAATGCTAGAGGAGGTCACATTCCATGTTGACTTCAACATTTGTATTCAAATTTCTTTTTTTTTTATTCACAGCTATTGTTACTTGCATTCATCTTTTATTCTTCTGTTAATGTTCGTTCATTGTTTTCCAAATGTATGCAGTGTATACCTAAGTATGTATGTATATGTATGTATAACAACAGTTTTATAAATTTATTTAAGTGGTTTTGAAAAAGTTTTTATGATTTGTGCTTAACTTTGATGGGCAGTGTAATTGAACTGAAATAATGGATCTGATTCCTTATCATCTGGCTGTCCTATTGCAGATCTGATCAAAACTACAATGTGCATGAGGTCTTGATAATGGGAATGGGAATAAAGGGCTCATTTTGTGTTCACAGGTCAGAAAGAGCTAAAAATGAAACAAAAATTACTTTATATAATTGGGTAATTAACAAATATATAATAGGTTTAAGCAATTTATTTTTTAATATTTAAAATTATGAGTATTGACAGAAATTCATTTTATTCTGTTTTCTAGAATGAAAATTTTTCAAATGGAAAAATTTGTAGTGAACAAGATTTTAATTTTTACAGAAGGAAAACCATAGAAAATACTTTAAATTCTTATTTGGATAATAAAGCAAAAGACAAAGGTATGTAGTTTAAGCATGTCTTTCTGTTAAATAAATTTACTATACAAATATTAATAGGATTTTGTGATGTAGCAAAGGTGTTAACAAGTACAACTGATTCATAGCATTGTCCAGTCCTATCTTTACAAGAAACTTTTTTATTTGATCACTTGGTAGAAGTGTAGATAGACTAGATCATAATCATGTCTAGAATGAGAATAAATGAGAGATCATGGACTAGATTAAGATCTAGTCCTGTATTTCTATGATCTTGATGATGATGATATTGAGAAATTCTGTTAGAGTAAATTTTCTTTTGAAGCAAAGCCTGTTGCTTCATCTTGAGTGCCAGTTCGTTAAGGTCATCGTTGCTAAGACTCTCACCATGTGTGAAAACCTGAGGGCCCTGGGCCTAATTTAATAATTTTTATTAAATATGTTTAAATATCAACACAAAATATTACTTCATTTTTTTGAAAAACTAGTGTTTTCGACGTGGGAAAAGATAGATAACAGATGCTACTTCCGTTAAGGGAAGTCTGTACATCCTCTGTTTGTCCCTTATCCGTTAAAAATCTCGCTTAGATGGGAACTATCGCCCCCTCTCTGATTCCCCTTTCATCCGCTCACATGAACGAAGTTCAAGCCGATGATTGGACGAAAATTTTAAGATATAAGGGAATTTAGTCCGAATTCGGGGAGTTCTTCGACAGATCTGAAGCATCTAAACTCCACGCAGTTTTCCTCCTGATGGCCAACGCCATAAACGGAGTCCCATAGACTAAGTCCCGAGTCTACACGTAGAAGTGATATTTTTATATTTGTGCACGAATTGATCTCCCGTAGGAAAGGAATATGAACTCTATCTACAAGGTGTCCTTTACCTACAGAAACGAAGACGACGACAACTAAACAGGTCGTATGTTTAGAATAATTTTGTGAGCTCTCTCTCTCGATCGCGCATTAACATAGAATAGGTTTTAGCCTATAGCTTGTCGCTTAATTGTCGTTCATCGATTATTTGTATTCGTTTTGTTTAGATTTATTAAATTTACTCTTGTTTATTTTACTAAAATGTCTCTTCAAATTTGTTTTGAATCAGATCGCAAACGCGTGTTAATCCGCGTATAATAAGATCGATTAACTGGTGTCAAGGAATCCTGACGAGCATCTGAACTTCGCCGTTCAGATCATTTTTATTTACGCTCTCCTATATAAAACTTTTAAGATCGGATCTAGAGATCCGAAACTCGGAGAACTATTCTCACGGAATAGGCCGATTAAGTGGTACTAACGATCCTTAGTGGAGTTGTACCCCCGGCTAATCTCACACATGTAACAGTAGAAATTCCTAAACATTTTCCTCATTCACATGCCTCATTCCTGTTTCAGTGATGTTTTGAACCCCTGACTTTCCTTCCAGTTTATGCAGATTGTTCCATGCTTCTGGCCTTCCTCCAGACTCAGTTCATACACTGTGGAGTTAATATTAGAAAAGTCTGAAATGAAGTATCTGTTGCAAGCATAATGTAATTTTTTTTAAATTGTCTAATTGATTGTTGGTCTTCACTGGTGCATCCAGTAGAAAATTTTCCAAAAATCTTTATCAATTAAAATTCATCTGTTTATTTATATCCTGTCATGTCATCTATTTTTATATTAATTATGAAAATTATGAATTAGTGGTAACGTAAGGTGGTAATTTTATTGAATTTGTATTGAAAAATTTTTTATCCATTCAGCTTGGCCTAAGAGTAAATCCTGAGTGTGCCACAGTTGGTCTTCATTCTCTGTTTTATGCACTGGGTTCTTAAATGTATGATATAGATATTAGGATTAAAATCTGGTTTTTATCCCCGATCCATTGACTTGTAGCAATGAAGTGGCATTTGATGGAAGCTATATGAATATGAATTTGGAGGATAATGTCTTGGCCACCCTACAAATCTAGACAAAAACTTGAAACAAAATATTATTGAAAAATACCAGTTATATTTTTATGATATTCAAACATTTTTATAATAGAATATGAGCTTAGTAGCAACTAAAACCATAAAGGTTTTAGTTGCTGAAACTTTTAGCTCATTTGCATTTCTTAGGATTGGTCTTATCATAGACATAACTAAACTTAAAATGGCATTTACTAGCTTACAGTCAATGTAATACTTGCTGCTTTATTTTCAGAGAAATGCTGTTCCTTTCATCTTTTTCAACAATACACTTACACATTTTCTTTCTGACATAATAGGTATAACACACTAAAAATATATAACAAAGTATTCGGAAAAGCTAACTAAATAAAAGGACTTCATGGATTATTATAAATAATCGAGTAAATGTATCAAATGATTCATTTTTTAAGTGGGTTGCCATAGAATGCAATATCAAAACTGTGCAGAGTGGTACAAGTCTAAAATGTTATTTTACATGTGTAGAAAACTTAATGATAGACAACATTTGTGCATGAATAGAGAGAACCATATATGAATGCAAATGAATATAGCAAAAACTCTACTACTTGATGTCTAAGGCTGCGTACACACTAGGCGTTTTTAAACGCGCGTTTAATGCATGTTAGCTCGGCATTCAACGAGCGTTTAGTGGAGTGTGCACACTGGCTCGGTTTGGAAATGGACGTGGAAGTGATTGCTTGTGTGTGGCTCCTCTATCGTCCCTATAAAAGACGATGTGTCCCAAAAGCGCGCGATCGAATGTACAACAAAATGGCAGCACATATATCTCAAAGCGCCCGCAAAACACATGTTTTAAGAAAAACCTATAAACGCGCGTTTTGCGGGCGCTTTACGGGCACTTTGAAATATATGTGCTGCCATTTTGTTGTACATTCGATCGCACGCTTTTGGGACGCGTCGTCTTTTATAGCGACGATAGAGGAGCCACACACAAGCAATCACTTTTACGTCCATTTCCAAATCTAGCCAGTGTGTACGCAGCCTAACAGAGAGTGATACACAACAACTTGCAAGATTTTACAAATCAAAGCAATAAAATTAAGTTTTTGGTGAGAAAGATACATACAGCAATTGGATATAGGTGGAGAATGGATGGAAAGTGCTTACTAATATCCAGGCAGAGATATTCGTCAGTATGGAGTATGTCCACCTTGAACTGTGAAGCACATCCTTCATGTTGAGGCAGGCTGATTTAGTGACTTTTTCCAGTTATCACTACTAGTAGCTATGTCTGTTCTTAAGTTTTTGACACACATATTTATAGGAATTTTTAGAAATGCAGTTATTGAGATGATTCCTTAAATCTAGAATAGGAATTAAGTAGAAATTTTTAAAATAATTCTTAATAATATTTAAGAAGTCATATTTTATTTTATCAGGAAATAGACAAAGAAAGAGGTTGAAATGTGAAGCTGACCATGATATTAAGAAGTTTAAAGACAAATATAATAGTTTAAAAGTGAAAAATTTATTATTGAGGCCGAATAAATGTCAATATATATTTTGTAGGGAAAGATTCAGGAGAAAACATTTTCTGAAGAAGTATCTGGTGATTCTACCCAGAGAAAAATTCAAATGTAAGATCTGTCAGATTAATTTTTCAAATAATTTAATATACAGGACTCACCTGTCTATACACTGTGGAAAAAGGTCTTTTGCTTACAGTATTTGCAAAGGAAAATTTAATTTCAATTTTGATTTAAAAAGGCATGGAAAAATACAACAAAAAATATCTACTAGTAACAACAATTATCACTGTAAAGACTGTAACAAACATTTTAAGTTCCAATATATTTTAAAAAATCATCTGAAGCGTCACAACATAGATAAATCTTTCTGTTGCAGTTTCTGTACAAAGAGTTTCAAGACTAAATCTGAATTAATTCAACACCAGATCTCTCATTCAGAAGATAGGCCTCATAAATGCAAAGTATGTGGAAAGATATTTAAAACAAAACCACATTTAGTGAATCACATAAGCACACATTCGGAAGATAGACCTTTTCAGTGCGACGTGTGCAGAAAGAGTTTTAAATTAAAGTCATATTTGTCAACTCATAAAAGACTTCACTCCAATGAAAAGCCTTTCTTGTGTAATTTTTGTGGGAAGCGTTTTAATTTAAGCTCGGGCTTACAAAGCCATAAAAAAATTCACGATTCGGAATTATCATATTCCGATTCCGGATCTAATCCTTATCTTTGCGAGCATTGTGGAAAAAGTTTTACGATAATTTCAAATTTTCGCAGTCATCTGAAGACCCATTGCGATGAAAGGAAGTTTCAGTGTGAAACCTGTGGAAAGTTACTTAAAACAAGAAGAAACTTATTTCGTCATTACCAAAGTCATTCCGACGAAAGGCCTCATATATGCGAACTGTGCGGAAAAGGTTTCAAATCAAAATCTAACTTGGTATCTCATAAAATGTCCCATTCTGATCTACGCTCTCACCAATGTGAGGTTTGTAAAAAGGCTTTTAGAAAAAAGCAAAGCTTAAAATGGCACAAACTAAAAAATTTTCATTAGAAAACTAAATTATTCTGTTTATTTATTTTATTTTTTTGAGATACGAAATTTATAAAGTGCTATTTTTGTACAATAATAAATGCAAAATTATTAATGAAGTGACTTATTTATCTATTGACATGAAATCAAAGTCTTGACATTGTAATCTGAAATATTTATCATACTTAAGTATCATAGATTTTTCATGAATAGGGATTTCTACAAGGACAATTAAACTTCTGTTCAAAATTTCAGTAATGATGATAGAACTACTGTATATGTTAATTACTTCCAATTTGTTTTATTCTCTACATAGCAATGGCTGAGTGGTTAAGTGGAATTGTACTGCTGTGGGGTCCTGGAACTGAACCAGTTTAAAAAACCCCTAGCATTTTTAGGGTGATTCATCTCTCACCTCCTGGCCTCACCATTGTGTGCCTGGCTGAACCCATAATGGGATTGCTAAAAGATGTCCTTGTAATATCCATAGAACAGAGTTAAAAAAGTTACTGCCTTGCACATGATAACACTTTTCCCGTGATAAACTGAGACTACAGTTCCACTGCCATTACTGAAATTCTGGACAGAAGTTAAATCATCACCTTCACATAACTATACTGTTGGCTATTAAAATTGCTACACCAGGAAGGAAAGCAAATAGCAGAATGTTTATTGCACACATAGAGTATAATGGAGGAAATACGTGATTAAATTGACAAATAATCTTGAGGTACAGAATGCTCGACATGTATCTTTCATGAAATTTTGTGATTGTTGCATGCAATCTTCATGGTGTAGCAATTTTAATGGCCAGCAGTGTATTTTCTCCTGAAAATTTATGTGAACATTTCAAAATGAACAGGTATGTTTATATGAAATCGCAATATTCAGAAGATTGCATTCAAATTCTTCAAATTTAATTGTTTTGATGCTAAAAATGAGTGTTAAAAAATTGGAAAATTTGACAAAACGATATGAATAACCTTACTCTAAATGTTTTGAAATAATCAGTTTAATGTATACTTATTTATGTAAAAATGCATAAAGTACATTTCTATTTATGTAATTCCATGATCAGAGAAAATTTCTGATTTTTAAGTTCTTCTACCCTGCAGCAACTAATGAAACTTTCATCATCTCTGAAGTAGAAATAGGGGAGTATAGAGAACATGGCTTGAAATCTTCAAGACAAACATGTAAACTCCTAGTTTTAAGGCCCACCAGTGGTCAACTGGATAAAACTACTGAACACTTGTAGTTTGTCAAGAGTTTGCGCCTCACCATTGAGCTAGTCACATGGAGTTTTCTGGGATTTTTTCATGTTTGTAACACTTAAATAGGGGGCAGTTTTCCATAAAAGTCCTCCTGAGAGGTATGTTCTTGGCAGATCACCCACAGGTCACATTCCCATAAACAAATAAACAAGTCCTAGTTTGAAATTGGCATTTATTTTTTTGCCAAGAGGGCCTTTTTTAATCAAGTGTGAGAGGTTTGGCCAGGAACACAATGGGGCAGCTGGATGATTAGGGAGTTTTTTTTTACTCTCTCCCCTGTGGGTAGTAAGAAGTGGCCTCTTTTATCAAGTCCGTTATGGGTATGGCCTGGCCCCACAATAGAGCGGCTGGGTGATGCGGGACGGGGCCCGATCCGGCAGTGGCGTGCCGTCATTAGAAGTGGTGGAAGCGCCGCTTCCCTTGTATTTTATTATAACCGCGTTATGTATCTTATTACAAATTTCTATACTACACGTGAAAAAAAAATAAGATTGCTATTGTATATTCGAATATTAGTGGCGGAGTGGAATCTCTGTATTGTCAGATTCCAAAAAGCCAGATTTGCGCACGCGCTTTACAGAGAACCAACCTCACCCGGTTTAGCCGGTAGAAGCCTACGACCTCGAGTCGATGCTACGCATTCCAACCCTTCCAATTCTATCCGGGCCATTAGCCGCCCGCCCGCTAGATATTTGGCCGATTACGTGAATAACGAGTAGATTTATAACTTAACCCAACCAATAAGAATTTACTATGTTTTTACGATAGTTCTGTATAGTTGACGAGAGTTAAAAAATCCATTAAAATATTTGATATATTTATTCCGCTCTCCGATTTTATATTACTCACGGATTTCGATGTTAAACCAGTGATATTACGATTTCGTATATCCCATCTATAAGGGGATATAGAAAAAACGTGTACAATTCTTGTATAATGTTAAAAATTATTTGTTACTTCGACAGCGTCGTTTACAACTAAATTTAATGAATGAGAGAGGTACAGAAAAAGGTCTAGAATTTATTTTCCTTAAATTTACGATTTATGTATCCGTTTGTCATAATAGTTTGTCTTTCCACTTTTTTCCCGAGACTACAAATATTCGAGTACAAAGTAACCGGTTTCGACTTATTTCTACTTAAGAAGTAGTTGAATAATTAAGCGATAAGGGAATTGGGAACATAAACAAAACTCTGACAAAAGAGCCAGAATATTACTTAAACAAAAGTTTAACCGAACCAATCTATAGCCGAGTACAGTGGGAACTGATTTCTTCGAAATACTGTATTAGATGTAATAAAGACAGAAATTTTTTCAGTTCGACGAGAGTGACCGGAAAGTTGTAAATTTTGGAAATTTCCGTGGACACCTGGTCTTAAGACGAATTAGTTAGAAAACAAACGACGGACAATCTATTAAGTTTAACGTATTTAGATTTGTATAGCTATGTTGAGAAACGTTTAAAATTTACAACAACTCTGTCGCGTCCTTTGAGATATACTAGTGGTACAACAAAAGAGCCATTTGACGTTAACCGGTATCGACACCCTCGGGATTTGGCACGCATGCACCGCACGGCACACCTACCAAGATCGTCTCTGATTCAATCCACGAGTCACTGATAGGGAGCACTTTTAACTAAGAGGATTGTTTTAAGATATTCTTTACTTTTTAAATATGTTATTTTTATGTGCGTTTCTTCACAAAACTATATTCATACAATCGAATATTTTGTACCAGGTATGTATATCCACCACACATTTTATTTTAGCAAGTAAGTTTTTATAATTTAATTTGTAATTTTAGCCCTTGTATCGTGGCTAGCAATTTAGAATGTAATTGCGATAGTGAAAATTTATTTCAAAAAGTTATGGCTCGAGATCTTATAATGAAAAAGTAAACATTATTAAAAGAGAAAGACCAATGCGTAAATTAAATATAAATACGTCAACAAAAAAATTTGTTCGACATTTTCACGATAAAATTTACGAAGACGTAAAATGGCTTTGTAGAAGCATAAAAATGCAAAAATTGTTTTGTTGGCCTTGCCTACTATTTTCAAATAAAATTAGTGTGTGGAATGAGATTGTCTTTGATGATTTTAATAATTTGAGTAAAGCTGGCAAAAGACACGAAAATCCTAAATCTCGCATCGATTCTTTCGTAAAATTGAAGCAATTTGGAAATCAAAATAGAATAGAATTTAACATCAGTACACAATATAAAATATATATTGAAAATTATACCGAGATAGTTACGGCTAATAGATATATTATATTTAAATTAGTAGATGTTATCGAAGCGAGAATTGGCATTTAGAGGACGTAGAAAATCTATTAAATCTAATATAACAGAGTTAATTATACTGAACTTGCTTATTTATTAAGTGCGTTAGATAATCTATTAATTAAAAATACATTTAAAGAAAGAATAAACTGATTGCCCCTGGAAGTCGGCTTCTTACAGAAACACTACTTCCCTATCATCAAATGTCACGGCACGCCCCTGATATCCGGACAGATCACCCCCGGAAAAATTCCTGGAGATTTATCGATCTCATGTCCCCCAGAGCGGTAGGCTTCCACCTTGACAACTCGGCCAGATATTATTGTGGGGGTAATGCACAATTGTATTCACCCAAACACCAAAATGAATGACGTAATGCATATTTAAATGTCGAATTAATTAAATTGTATGTATGTAAATGATTTGTTCGAAGGCCCACCACATCCAAGTTTAAGTAATATTTTAAAATATTATTTTATTCTTGAAATTATATTTCGTTCAATATGATAAAATTCGACAAACAGGATATTCTTATCGAGGGAAATAACGAACAGGATGTTGAATTAACGACATAATTATATTTTGTAACTAAGTGATTAAAATACACCTACAAAACACCCATACGTCGTGTCTTGTATGACGTCAACTACAAGAATCTTCAGCAGGAAATCTACAGATTGCGAGTAAAAAAAAAAGATGTATTTATCAAATACAATATTTTAATTTAATAGTAATAAAAGAATAAAGTGTTTCGTCCTCCTTTACACCAAATATGTGTTGAATGGATAAAATTTCTAAGCATTAACAGTTGGTTTGCGGGTTTGCACCTCTTAGTCATACGCGAACCTGTAGAGTTTTTTTTTTTTTTTAGTTTTTTTACGCTTCTAACATGGGGAAAATTTTCTAAATATAAACCTTCCGAGATGCATTTTCCCATGGCAGACCGCCTCACGTGTTGAGTTGTATTCCATCAAACCAAACCAAATCAAATTGCAATGTGGGCAAGGCCAAACTCATAACGGAAGTAAAAAAGTCTTCTTATCACCCAAAAAGAGGAAAGAGCCGAAAGTAAAGGAAAACACGTGGGCATAATGTTTTCTCCAATAGGAAATCGAAACGACAGCTCATTAGAATGCTGTCAAGTCTTATCTGGTTTGCAAGTCACTGACAAGAGGAAACATCAGTAAAAGCAGCAACAAATTGTTACTCTCTGGTGTTAACGAACATCCTATTATACAACGTGTTCGATTATATTAAATTAAATAAAAGAACCTATTAGAAGAAAGTCTGATAAAAGGAACGGCGATGTTTCCGCACAAGATTAGGTTCGTAATCTTTTTAAATTTGATGATATCGATAAATTGTTGTGAAGATTTCTGGAAGGATTGGTTTTCTTGTTCACCAGATAACACATGTTATCTATCCGAGAAGTCGAAGGCCGAAATCGTAGGAAATACCATGACAATCATGTGCGGGAAAGATCATATCGATTTACGTTTGATGCGATGTTTGGACACCAGAAATATTCAGAAATTACAAATTAATCATTGTCACGCAACACATTTCGATGTCAGAAGTTTTGTTTCCAGCGATGCCATCACCGAAGTCAACATTTTCACTACAACGCTTCCGAAGAACTTCGAAAGTATAGCGTTTACTGATATGCCATTACTAAAAACTGTCAAGATTTCGGGGACTTCAGAGCTAGTCAACTTGACTTTAGATAATCTTCCTTCTCTCGTGGATTTGCGGGTACATAAATATACCATTAATATGCATGAAGAGCGAGATTATTTGTATGGGGCATTGAACATTCCGCCTAAACTATTTAATGAAGTTCCCAATCTTCGACGTTTGGATTTGAGTTACAATAACATTGATTCCCTTGATCAATCTGTCTTTAGGAAGCTCACTCAACTGGAATATCTGAATTTGGAGGGTAACGAAATAAAGGTATTACCGGGTAAACTGTTGAGAGGACTTTCGAATTTAAGAGTTATTTTTATTGCTTATAACCGGAAATTAAAGTCAATTCCATCTCGACTTCTGAAAGGATTGATCAACTTGACTAAATTTTATGCCGGAAACTGTTCTTTGTCTAAAATTAAAAAAGATTTATTTACCGATGCGATTAACCTGGAGATCATAGATTTAGACACGAACAAAATTGGTCATCTGCCGTCTGGAGTTTTCAAAAATAATCAGAATCTACGAGAGTTACACTGTTACGGAAATAGAATATCAACACTTCCAGACGGAATTTTCGAGGGACTTTCTAAATTGAAAACGATTATTTTGGGTAAAAATCGATTAGAAAATTTTTCTGTAGATATTTTTCGTAATTTACCGAGTCTCGAAAGTCTTAATTTAGCTGAAAATCGGATCACAAGTTTACCTGAAAATATTTTCTTTTCGCTTAACAATTTAAGGACTCTGATACTCAGTTCTAACAACCTGAGAAGTATTTCGGGTGAAATTTTTGGCAGCAGCAAACACCTGGATTATGTCAATTTGAGTAATACAAGTTTAAGTGAATGGCCCGTGATAAATTGGGCAAAATACAACTTGACTTATGTTGATTTCTCATTCAATCGTTTTGAAACTGTGAAACTTCCAATTTATACACCAAATCCTATGACATTTAGATTATCTGACTGCAAAATAGAAACTGTTTACATCGACGATGATATATACGGATTCAACACGCCTACTTATTATTTGAACAATAATTCAATTTCTTCTATACAAAGAATTAAAAACACAAATTAATCTGTACTTTGTACAAAATTAACATTTATATGCTTAGATTTTAATCTTTTTGTAGTGTATTCTTTTAGTCATTTAACTACAAATTAAAAACAATAGATGTAAAGTGTTTTGTGTAATTTTTTCTGTTATTAGATTCACTTTCCGCCCTGTGGGCACTAAGAGAGCCTCTTTTTGCAAGCCCATTATGGGTTCGGCCAGGCCCACAATGGGCTACCGGGTGGTGAGGGACGGGGCCCGACATATCCGAACGGACCACCTCCCGAAAAATTCCTGAGGAATTTTCGACCCGTTCGGATTTGAGCCCGGGTCCCCCAGAGCGGTAGGCTGCCACCTTGACCGCTCGGCCATCCGGCCGCAATTATTAGGTTTACTGTTGATTGTTTTGTTGATATTTTTAAACACACAATTGCCTATTTTGAAATGTATTTTCGTTATAGATAATTTGCGAATTTTGTTTGTACATCGTCAATTATCCGATATTTCTTATACTCGCGAGCTTTTATCTTGCAGGATATCCCACCAAACACCTCATATTTCCATTTCATTATTTAAATTAATAGTACAGTATTATTCGCATAATTTTCACGTCTTCTTTAAATCTACATAAATACGTGTCTTTCTCTTTATTGACGATTTTAACAAGCATGCGGGGAGATAGCTGCGAATTAAAATTCGTAAACACGAAGCAGCGATTAGACTAATGTACAGTAGACCCCCCTATAGCACTGGTGATAAATCCGTGTTATATGAATTCTATGTATCCAATCTAATTCCAATCTAAGTGACTCGTTGTACGAGTCACATAGATTTTACAAATACGTGAGCCGATCACAGCCTGGCACATGTATTTGTAAGATCTAAGTGACTCGTACAATTTGTGGAATTCATATAAAAACGAACGGTTGCATTATATTCCCGTCTTACAGGCTACATCACTTAATATAAAACTAACAAACATTTTATTTTAGACATATATTATATTTTAATTAATAATTCAGAACTAGGATGAATTGAAATTCACGATCACGATTAAAACAAAGGAATTAACACCACTTAGACAAAAATTAAAGCGATTTATACTAAGGTAACCCCAATCGTCCTCCATTAGGAAGGACAGTCCTTCTTTATTAAGTTCTGTCCTTTCTCAAAAAATGTCCTCCTAAATGTTTTCTTTTTCGATATTTGAAGACTAATCTGTAAATCTCCATATTTGATCGATGCCAAGCCGATCAGTTGCATGTGATGTGATGTGTTTGTATTTAACGTGATGGTTCATCAACGCTCGGCACAATTCCTTAATATCAATTGAAAGAAACAAGCAGCTCTTCGCTTGTCATTCGTCATTTGCAGACAAATAAAACCCAGAACTCACCACGTGGAGGTGGCTGCTTCAGAGTTCCACCAAGAGTTGGAAAGAATGTAACTTTATAAGCGACTGACATCACTTGTCGAGTTTCATTCGTCTTAACTCACACAATGAAAATATAATTTCCTCTTCAAATTCAACTATTCGAAACTCACCGTATCATTACTATCTAAACTAATGGATACAATATTACAACAACTAGTAATAATGAAAGAAAGAAAGCCACTAAGATGCCAGGTCGTAATAAAACGCACGTTAAGGCCACAATATTTAAAGTCATACCGAACCTCAATAAACAAAAGCAAAAAATTCTCGCCCTGCGCGAAATTTAATAAAGCGGGACACAGAAAGCCTTCTCCGCCTTTTCTCGGCGTCTTCTGTCTTCACCCGAGTGGGCCTTAAACACGCGGAACACTCGGAGGACTCTCCGTCTCCCGTCGGCCTCTATACTCGAGCGGGCCTTAAAGAAACGTGACACAGAGACCCCTCTTCGCCCCGTCGACATCTACTGTCTTCACCCGAGCAATCTTAAAGATTCGGGATACAGGGAGTCTTCTTCGCCTTTCGTCGGCGTCTCCTGTCTTTACAATGGTCACCTACAATAGAAAAAAACGAACAATACATTGTAACAATTCGTTAGGTATTGTTAGAATACATTTTTAATAATAACATTAATAAATAAAATTATAAAAATGAAATTTATAGATGTCCAGCGCACAAACTTATTTATATATATAAAAACAAAAAGTTTAAATATATTCTTTATACATCACTTAATATAAAACTATCAACAGATTTACCACAGTCCTCTTTACATCACATCGCAATCAAATGACCCGCGTAATGCCACCAGAATGCCTTTAATGTTCTCACCCCAATATCCTATAAAATAATTTGTAAAGGCTCGCTATACTCAGAATTTTTAATGTACAGTATTTCATTTTTGGAGTCTTTGAACTCTAAGCATATTTGTAAGTTATTAATTTAAAAAAAAGCAATGTTTTAACCATTTGTTTTAACCACGAATTTCTATGTGACATTGATAACCGATGATGAATCACAGAATGAATGTGATCAAATATCATCACAAACTTACGTAGCTTCTGCTTTATTTAGTGGAGAATCTGACGAGGATGATTCTGATGAGGAAGAAGTGCTACTAATCTATCAATAAAAAGGAATTTTAGAAAACGTGAAAAAGTAAGTACTGTTCCTTCTTCTTCATTAACGAAGGAAACAGTAAATCAATTTTTTGAAAATAAAGCCACATGAACGGATGTTTTCCTGACAGTTTTAGGAGAAAGTTCAATAAGCAATATTGTATTTTAAAGCAATTTGTATAGCCAACAGAAACAAAGAAATATTAAGACAGTTAGAGAAGAAGAAATGTATGGATTTCTAGGACTTCAATGTCTTTTCGGTTATCATCGTTTACCACAAACCCGTCATTATTGGTGTAGTGATATAGATTTATGCGTTCCCATTGTACGAGAAGTAATTACAAGAGAAAGGTATAAACAAATTTTATCAAACTTACATGTAAATGATAACTTATCCATTCTTCCAGATAATTAAGACAGACTATATAAAATACGACCACCTATCACTACAATTAATGAAAACTTCAAAAAATTCCGACTACCAGATCAATTTCAGAGTATAGATGAAAGCATGGTAAAATTCAAAGGACGTTCATCCCTCAAGCAATACAACTCCTGTGAACAGGTTATAAACTCTGGTGTCGTGCTGATATGTCAGGATACATATACGAATTTATAATTTACCAAGGAAAAACACATGATGATTTTAGGAAAAAAAAGTTTTGGTCTTGGTGGAAGTGTTGTTGCAAAGTTATCATCATCCCTTCATCATGGAAATTTTATAATTATAATGGATAATTATTTCACATCTCTAGAGTTGTTTGAATACAGTAATACCCCGAACTTACGCGATAGGTGGGACTGAGCGGTAACCGCGTAAGTCAAATTCACGTAAGTCGGGGTGTAATTTCGCGTATAAATACATACAAATAATTTTTAATAGGGGCCAGAGACTAAAGAAAACAATAATTTAGAAAAAAATGTTTAATAAAATCTTAGATAATACATATGTATAACAAATTAGGCCTATATTATTTTACAATTTTTTACATTTACTTGATTATTACGCCATAATTTTAACATTGTTTCCATCTCAGCGATAATGCTGTGACGTTTACGAATGACGCTTGAATTTAAAGATTGAGCATTTTTCGCAGCTTCGAGAATTTTTTCTTTGCCTTTTATAATTGTTCTGATTGACAATTCCGGTAGATCAAACTCCTTTGCCAATTCACAAATTTTCATTTTTGTATCGAAGTCTTTAATAATCGGTACTTTCGTAAAGTGAAACGAGTTAAACGAATCGTTCGAAAAGTCTAACGAAATAGGAATAACGATGACGTCATTCTCGTTTAACTGGTTCGACTTTACGAACGTACCCAATGTTGACTACATTTCAAAAATACAGTTTTTCTTTTCTTGTTTGATGTAGAAGAATTAGTTCTACTTCGTTTGGATGACATAGTAGACTCTCTCGAGTCTCCGTAGATATAACAAACACAGAAATAAATAACACAAAATAAATTGTAGCTATGTGTGGATTCCGCGCGACACATCCGAACATGTAAGCCGAACAATAGTGTGGGGGGAGTGAGTAATCAAGGGTTGCGTGGCGCTCAAACAAAAGACGAATCAACGAGATTTGAAAATCGCGTAACTCCGGGTTCGCGTAAGTCGTGGTATTACTGTACTTGAAATCACAGGGTGTTTATGCATGTGGAACTATTCGTTCAAATCGAGCATGACTTCCAAAACTAGCAAATGACAAAGACTTAAAAAGAGGAGAGTATGATTTCAGAACATCTGATTAGGTATCATATATTTCAAATGGAAAGACAATCGAAGTGTTTATTTATTGTCCAATTACAATGGAACAGAAGATGTAAATGTAAAACGCACTCAGAAGAATGGAACAAAACTAAATGTGCCAGCACCACTGGCTATCACAGAATACAATACTCATATGGGAGGAGTTGATAAAGCTGACATGCTAAAATGCTAAGATATAAGGATATGATCGAAATAGAAGATCAAAGAAATGGTGACATAGACTGTTTTTTGCAATTATAGAAATGGCTCTTGTGAATGCTTCTATAATTTTCACTGATTTGTTAGAAAAAGTTTCATTTTTGGAATTCAAAAGACAAGTAGCTCAGGGTTTATTAACAAAAGGAAGGAAACCATCTTCAAATAGAAGAAGACCAAAAGTAAAATCGTTAGATCAGACAACTGATTCATTACCAAAAAGAAAAAAAATACAGTAGACCCCTATAACGCTTAGATACGTTCCACGTTATTCGAATTTTACGTTGTAGGAATCATTAAATACATGAGCCAATCGCAGCCCGACACATGTGAAGTTTACGGCTGTTTGAAAGGTTTTCTTTTATAAAATTAACCGATTCTAGACTAATTNTTAGCATTTACGATTGTTTTTTTTGCCATTTTATAATAATTAGTAATATAAAAAGTTTTTAAAAATAAAATCTCGTAAGAGATGGCGACACAGTCACTTTTAACTTTATTGCAGGGAAAGTTACGAAATTCAGATTTTTTGTAACTGGAACGTTTAATCCTTATTTTATTGAAGAAGGGATGTGTGGAGCAGAATCGTAGACCAATGTCT